ACCGCTCTTTCATTTCTAAACTAAATAAGAATTTTTCTTGAAAAAATTTGCTCTTTATTCCAATCTTAGACATCTGGGTTCACAGAAAAAACATCAATTTTCACAAAACAGCTTCCTACATTGCAGAAACCAAAAGTTAGCATTTTGAAGAAGATAGTATTACAGATTTATACTGTATTATAGAAAGGGCCATATGCTGGCTTCTCTTGGCATTCCTAATGCCCATGAAAATTTATGCCATTCATGATAGTTTTGGAGCAGATTTTCTCATACATTTTTTCCCCTATAGGAGCTTATGGTCTTCTTGAAATGTGATTAACAGACATATCTAATGCATAACTTTATATAATTAGTACAGAATTTTATGTCTTCAAGCATCTTTTGCAATGAGCTTTCTTTTTTTAAAATTTTTTATCATTATTTTCTTTACATTTAATCATTGTACATCTTTACAGCCTAAAAGATGAATTTTGTCATCTTGAATACACTGCAAATTGGTCCAGTCAAAGATATTATTATATACATTATTATCAGCAGACAATTTTTCATTTTTGTTCCCATTAAATGCTTTCCTTTTTTTAATTTTGATTTCCTCTCCCCCTCCCCATTGCCCACACTTCTCCTGCACTGTCTTTAGTTTTGTACTATTATTATTATTATTATTATTTACATGTCAAGAAAAGCAATTTTAGCTTTAATGAATCAAATTAAATAAAGTGAAGAAAAATTTGCTGAAGACTTAAAGCCAGGAAAAAGGTTAAGATTCTATTCGAAGTAGGTAGATGCTAAAAACTCAAAAAACAGATATGGACAGAGCGAAAATCTAATAACAAGTGTAGTTTTCTTCTGAAACATTTTTTTCTCTCTTCATCCCTCTTTTTTTACCAAAGAGAAGCATAAACTAACTTATTTGCAAAAAAAAAAAAAAAATAAGGTCTGTTATTTAGTCTCAATTTGGTCTGTTATTTGGTCTGTTAATTGATTTAGTTGGCTTTGCAAGAACCTTTTATAAGAAACATCAGATTAGACTTTTTTTAATTTTAGAGTTTTTTTTTTTGCTATTGGGTGCGTGCATTCGCCAGAAGGACAGAGAGAGACATAGAGACAGAAAGCGAGAAATCACCCCCCAGGGGGGATGGCCATGCCACAATCTCTTCTCCTCTACTCTCCTCTTGGGATCTTGGGCACACATGCACACGCACCCGGTGTGAGTTTAAGCCACTGGGTCTGGGACTCAAACCACGGTCGGCTACATGGGAGTTCAGCGACATAGCCATTATGCTAACTGCTGGTCCCTAGATTAGACTTTTTAAAAAGCCTCCCAGGGCTACTGAGCCAAGTCAGAAATTCATCATCTGACTGTGCCTTACAGTACCTGTACTTGGAATTTTTGGGGCCTGTCAGGAATGGGCTGCAGAGAAGCCTGCCTATCAACAGTGACTGTGACATGAGTATCAAATATTTTGAGGAAATGTTCTACTGTGCAGAGAAAATTCTTTAAGGTTCTAGATTTCAATGGTGTCTTATTTCCACAGTAAGCTTATGCCACTTAAGCAATGATAGATACTGACACACTTTAAGCAGCATGTTTGGCCATCCAAACAAAAACCAGATATTTTCTGTATTCACTTGTTGCAGAAATAATTTAAAAAATTCTTCTATGATATAGAGAGGAAAGGGAGAGAGGTAAGTTGCAGGAAGGGGAAAGGCACTCTCAACAGAGTCTTCAAGCTTTGATCCACCCCTCGCTTCAGTTCTCCCAGATCAAAGGGTTGCCTGCACCCAGCATGTCCAGGGAGATCTTGGGACAAGAACCTGGGTCTTCCCACGTGGGCCCAGCACCGCAGAGCAATGTGTTACCTTTGCGCTCCCTCCCTTTTTCCTAGAAATAATTTTAAAAAGAATTTGTGGGAAAATAGTAAATATAATAGTATAATAATATAGAAGATAATCAGCTACAGGAGATTAGGAGATATATCAAACTTTGATATGCATTAGAACCACTGAAAACATTAAAATGCACATCTCCATATCCACATTTTCAACAGCACCCATAGTAGTCCTAGATCTTTACAGTTTCGCTTTTCATCCTTGGTACTGTTGATACTTTGGACTGAGTAATTCTGTCATCAGAGGCTGTCTTGTCTTGCAGAATATTTAGTGGCACCCATTACCTCTACCCATTAGATTCCAGTATGCTCTGACACTTTCATTGTAACAACCAAAAATTTCTCCAGACATTAGCAAATGTCTCCTGGGAGAAAAATCGTACCTGAGGGAACAGCAGTTAGAGTAATGGCTATGTCGCTGGACTCCCATGTAGTCGACTGTGGTTTGAGTCCCGGACCCAGAGGCTTAAACTCACGCCAGGCACATGTGCGTGTGTGTG